TGAAAAATAAAGTAATTTCATTATTCATTAAATCACAAAAAGCCCATTCAAAGTTTATTTTCCATTTTTATGCTTCAATAAGTCAGTTAGGTACCTTTTACTGTGGCTTAAAACCATTCAAGCATGGAAAACAAGCCCTAGTTAGTGTATTTAGTGAAAAGTAAATAAGGAAGTCTATCACAGACATATAATCTGGTATATCTAGCATATATATATATATATATATATATTCATATATATGTACCTGTAAGATGCACTCGCCTACGACAAAGATGAAAAGCAAAACACATACATACAACCGCATGGCGAGACATGAAAGAACGAACAATAAAGAAATAAAAAACGCAGGGAAACAAAACAGACTGTCATAAAATGCGACACCTGTTTAAAGTTGTGGCAGTACAACGCAGTAACCCCACCTCGTTGGCCACCTTTTCAGTTCTTTTCGTGTGTTTGCAATGCATTTCATTTACCGCAATTATTTACTTTGGCTAGATGCGGGCTCTTCAAAAACGTAAAAGGAAACGAATGTGGAAAGAGGGTTTCCTAACAAGATGCACTCTACAAAAATCTAAGCTACCTGTTAATAAATATATATATTAAATGAAATACCAAGTAAGAAAATAGTTTATGTTCTATGTTTTTTTAAGCAAATAGATTATTTATAGTAATATTAAGAATATACCAGCCTAAACCCCTTTTTGAAAACCAACTTATAGTCCCCTCTTTATGCGATTGAAAATCTTTAAAAATCTTAAAAATAACCATTTTTGCCTTATTAAATATAATAAAAGTGAAATAACCTTTTTATAGGGCATAAAGAAAACTATAAAAAGCAAACTTAATTGACGGCTTCTTGGCTTTTGGTGCATTGAACCGGCTGCACAGGTGGAAGAAGAGGAAGTTGAAGAAGCGGCATTTGACCCAGTTTGATGGAATGGCATTTGAATGCATTTCCATTTGAGTCGCTCATTCAGTCAGTCGGTCGATCAACGAGTTTCTGTTTTATACTTCTTCCTTTTTTACCAGGTTGTTGTTTAAACCAATTAAATGTCAATTGGCGACGTCATCTGGCTCTTCAATCAGCCATTCATTCAACCCCATCCGCAGAGAGAGCTTTTCTCACCCCTCAGCCAAACAAGTTTCTGGCACAATTGAATTCTTTCTCTTCATTCAGGCTCTTTTCTTTCTCCCTCGATTTCATTCTTGTTTAGCTTTTGGCACAATAACAATATTAATAGCAACAACAACAACAACTGGCACGAGTTCTCTCGTCATTGCCGCCTTGTTTATAAACAAAAAAAAAAAAGAGGAGAAAAAAACCTGCCGTGAAATAAAATTAAAAGAAATACGAAATACGAAATCTTTTTATTTCAACTTGTTTACCTTGAAATCCGCCTCGAATTGAAGTTCAAGCCATTAATTACACTCAATTTTAGCTACGTTTTTTATTGTTTTTTTTTTCTAAATTTTGCATTCATTGCAGTTTTTTTTATTTCTTTTTTGTAAAAGGCTTCTCAATAAGATAATTAAAATACTAATGACTTTTTGGTCAAACTGAAAGGGATTATTTACGGGCTATAAATACTGTTAAATTATATGTTAAGTTGACTAAAAAGTCCATTCTAAAAGACTTCCCCTTACGTTAATAAAGATATTAGTTATTAATTGTTTTGGTTAAACAATTTGAAAGGGGTTTCATGAAATTATATGAAGTGTTTTTTTAAGACACTCAAGCTGAAAATTAAAAAACAAAAAGCCAGAAAAAAAAAACATGACCAAAGCCGCATAACTGTGCCAAGGCAAAATATTCCAAGCTGGCTGCAAAATTTATTTCTTTCTTGGTTTTTTTTTCTCTCTTTTTCTCTCGCTTGGCCAGCATTGTTTTTCTTGTGCATTTTTCTTGTTTTTCTTTTTTTGGCAGACTTTGCAAAGTGCAAATGTGAAACGAGAACCTCTAAACCAAGTTAAACAGAGGCCAAAAAGAACTTAGGGGAAATGGCCAACGCACTTACAATGGAAAGAGAAAAAAAAATATCAAATTACACTGTGCAGCACACATGATGCAATCGCAAGAGGAAGCAGCTGCCTCCGCAGATTTTCCATTTTCAGCCAAGTGGATCTCAGATTACTAAGGGGAAAACTCAAAAGATACTCGAGATACTGCAAGATGAGCCACTTGTAGGGATATATATCCTGTTAAGGATACGGGCAGGTGGTCCGGAAGCAGTTGACAATGCACTAAGCACTTTAATTAATTAATCGGTGGCATAACTTCCTCTAGCCCCAAAAAGCACAGAAACTAAAGGCAGGCAACAATAGCTAAAATAGCAAATAAACCAAACAAAAAGTCAACAACGATGTCTCCGGCTGGCACGAAACCTGGCTCAAACCCACAATAACAAAAGCCACGAGGGAATTGCAAGCGAAAAATAACAGCGACTACAAAAATCAACAAATAAAAAGAAAAACAATTGCGAATTTTCGCATTCGTGGAAATGTTACAACTGTCCCACACAAATACATTTGCCAAAAAAATAAATAAATGAGCAAAAGTCGTTTACTTAATTGCCAGAAAACAAAATAAAGACGATACTAAAAGTGTCTTCTAACTAAGCTTTTTCAAGCGACATTTGAGAATCAATAATATTAAGAATGCGTGACAGTTTTGGGAGTGAAATTAATGTTCTAGTATGGGAAATAAATTACTATAACTTTTGTGAGTAATTCTAGTCTTTACCTTAATAGAAATTGCTTGAGTAATAGAAATATCAAATAAATTACCTTAAATTTTATCAAGTTTAGATTTTTTTGCTTTAAAAATGTGACATTTAAAGGTCTTGGTGGGACAAAATACTGTGCATGTATTTTAGAATGATTTATAAACTTTTTTAAACTATCTTTGAATATGAATATTAAGGAAAAAACGCGTTTTTATTAAAATAGTTTCTACTTTATAGATAATATTGTTTAACTTTTCTTCTCTTTATCTACTTTAACACGAGATCTTTATAAAACTAACTTATCTTATTGACTTAAGAGAGTAAAAGCAACTCTTATGTACACCATACCAACTTTGTGCAAACTCTAAAGATCCGCCTAGATGAGATCATTTGGGATTATTCCTATAGTTATGATATGAAACTTTGATAAAGCCTTTCTTTACTGGTTAGACTCTAACCCCAAGGTTCATACTATTAATCTTAACTGCTTCCCTTAACTAGTTAGCATTCCCCAATTAGACATAGTTTTCGCAGTTCCCATTTCGCCTATTTGATAAACAACAACAACAACTTAAACTGCTCTACAAACGTTTGCTAATTAGCAGCCGTTTTTTTTGGGAAACAGTTAGTTCGGGCTACGCACCTGTTGAAATATATTTACGTATCCAATTGGAGCAGACGGCTGGCTTTAACCGTTAGCTGAACATGAATTTGGTTAAAAAACAAAAGAAACGAATTATTTGCACTTGGCGAAAAGCCACAACAATTGACGGGTGAAAATACACAAATACACGCACACACACAACGCGCTTAAAAGGAGAGAGGGAGTGAGACGGAGATAGCCGGCGGAGCGCAACAGTTAGATTTCGTTGGTGTTGTTGTTGTTGTTGTTGCTGTATGTGTAGTTGTTGCAGAACAGGTAGTTGCACAAAATATTGCCTATTTTTGTTGTTTTCTTTAAATTTCTTTCACTTTGGTCAGCATTTTCTTTATATCAAATTTTTATTTTGATTTATTTTTTCTGTGTAAACTGTAATTGTACGCGTGCGTAACGTTGGTAACGTCTTTTACTACTTTTTTTTTGTTGGCTGAGTTGTGATTTTGGGGTTTTTACGTGGGTAATTACACCGCGCGCGCGCTATCGAAAATGTGCAAGTAAAAAGCTAATAAAAAGTCAAAACGACAAAATGTGTTTTTTGATATCCAAAGTTGATGTTTCTATAAAATTCGATTACACGCGCGCAGCAGCAACAAGCTTTGATTTTTTATATTTTGTTGAGTAAGTAACTAAACGCCGCGCTCCGATGTTCGACCACTCGATTTCCCGATTTCATCTGAACTAGCCGTTTAGCGATTGTTTTTACTTTTTCTCGCCAAATAGTAATACCAGACGTCGGTGTCATCAAAATTACCTTATTTCCCAAAAACAGTCTGGCAGGCAGCACTGACGAGCTAACATATACACGAATCTGAATTGTAACAGCCAGTCTTAGCAAATCAGCTATTTAAAGCTAGTTTTAGCTACTTTAAGATAAAAGCCAAATGGAACTTGGCTAATCTTTAATTGATTACATTGTTATATGTTTTAAAAAAAAGTTAGAAAAACTTTATTCCAAAAACTCTTACACACATATTTTTAAATCTAAATAATGTTTATTTATTAAATACTGCAACTAATTTATTTATTAAATTTAAATTATTAAAGATAAACAAAATTGAGTATTTAGTGAGGTTAAGATATTTGATTACGCTTAGCATGGACTCCAACCTGCCACTGGGTATGGTTTCTATTGTCGATTTATTACTGCAAATTTACCAGTTTCGTCTTACCAAAAATAGTACTTTGTTATTCTTTAACCTTATCGAAGATCTATTTATATACATAATAAATAAAAAAAAATAAAATGGAATCAGTGCAGAATACCAATCTACGATACTAAACTAAAACTCGTGACTAAGTCTGGCGCCTCACGAGTCATGTAGATACATTTGTAGATATTTGCTAAAATGAAACAGCGGAGTCACATACCACTAGCCGTGTGTCGATAGTTCTTGAATTCAAATTATAGTTTTGGCGGGTAATCGAATTTAACCCTTATAGCGTAGAGAAAAAATAACATAAAGTAAAAGAATGTAGTTGTTAGCTGTTTTACCCGATTTGGCGAAACGCATAGTAAAATTTAAACATATTTAAAGTAAATTAACTGTAAAATATGTTAGCAATAACTTAACCGATAATCAGATTTCATGCAATACAAACAATTTCATACATTTTTAAGATCTTCAGTTAGTAAATTTAATTTATATGTATTTATACTTAATAAATACATAAACAAAGAGGCTAACGGAACTTGTTGATCGGATTCAACAGGTCCGATGTCCTGGCAACGCACTGTAAACAGACCAAAGGAGCTCAAGTTCAGCTGTTGCATTGGTAACGAACGTGCCACGGAATGTTTTATCGATAGCCACCAATGGACAAGGACCACGCCATAACAAATAGCAAATTCCAAGAGCAGACAGTTCACCCAGCAATGTCGCGCTTCAAAAACGTCTAATAATTGTAGAAAAAAACGCCCAGCGGGATAGTGAGTTCGGGATCGGATAATGGGGAATACGGAGAGTAATGTGACCAGTGGGGTCAAGAAGCAGGCCGGAGTCTCCACCCAGGCTCTGTACAAGTTCGTGAACCTCAAGGGCGGCGGCCTTCTGGTGGACATGATGAAAAGAGCTTGTCAAACGAAACAATTTGCTGAGATCGATCACGCCATTAAGACCAAGGTGGAGCCATTTTTGTATAACAAAGGGGCTGGGCGGTACTTCCCCATCTCGAAGCTTGTCTTGCTGCGGAATCGGGATCGCCCACGTACTCGGCAGCTGCCCGAGATTAGGGCCCTTGAGAATCCTGACGAGGACTTCAACATTCACGACTATTGCCCTGAGGTATCGGAGGCGGAGTATATCTCCAATCCGACGGCGTATCGATTCGTCTGCTGGGATCTGAATGTAAGTGGCTTCAAAGAGGAACAATAAACATGCCCAGAGAAGTATGCAGTAGAAAATAACATTGTCCTTCGAGTATCGAATGTAGTTGCCTACTTTTGGACAGCTTAAGAGAAATATCCTTGTTAGCGCTCTTTTTCTCACCTTAGTGTTTATTAACTATGCCTTGTGTTAGTAAATAAATAAAATTTCTTTATCATCTCTAGATGCGGGGTGCTGTGGGCGAAACCATCCTCCATTTGTGCCTGCTAAATGCCTCCTCCTTACATGCTGATCTGGCCAAGAGACTGCTCAAATTCTACCCGAAACTTATCCTGGACACCTATATGAGCGATGAGTATTACGGGGAGAGTGTCCTGCACATTGCCATCGTCAACGAGGATCCAGCCATGGTGAAATATCTACTGGATGCCAATGCAGATGTACAAGAGCGGTAAGAAAGAGTTTTTTTAAAATCTTAAAAAAGTTTTTCAAATATTTCTCTACATTCTTCAGTTGCTGTGGCGCCTTTATGTCAGCGGAGGATACCAAGTTTTCTCGGACAGATTCCCCAGATCACGAGTACGTGGCCCTTTGTCCCATGACCAACTACGATGGTTATGTTTATTGGGGCGAATATCCCCTAAGCTTCGCTGCCTGCCTGTCGCAGGAGGAATGTTTCCGTTTGGTTTTGGCACGAGGAGCCGATCCAGATTTCCAGGACACCAATGGAAACACCGTGCTCCATATGCTAGTTATCTACGAAAAGATTGAAATGTTCGACGTGGGTTATGAGGTGGGAACGAATATTCATATAAAGAATATTCAGAATCTCACGCCCCTTACTTTGGCTGCCAAGTTGGGACGAGTTGAGATGTTCTTCCATGTGATGAGTATCGAAAGAGAGATTTACTGGCAATTGGGCAGCATCACCTGTGCAGCCTACCCACTCCTAATGATTGATACCATTAATGAGGAAACTGGTAATATCAACAAGGACTCCGTGCTGAACTTTGTGGTATTTGGAGATAAATTGGAGCATCTGGAGCTGTTGGATGGCGTGGTTATTGATCTACTAAAGACCAAATGGGATACTTTCTGCAAATCGCGGTTCTACAAGCAGTTCTACATGTTTGCCCTTTACTTCTTGATCTCACTGTTTAGTTTTATCCTGCGTCCAGGTCCGGACAACAAGGAGGAAGACGAGGATGGCGCTAATAGCACTACTGTGAAAAATGATTTATATAGGCAAAATGGATCGGAATCTTATCATCGGCAGACCAAGAGGGGTTCTTTGACTACTGAATACAGTTGAGTATGGCTAATTAAGATGTATTAATATTTAATTACAGGGGTGGCATATCCACCCAGGGAACACCAGGGCTTAGAAATCACTTACAAAGAGGTTTAAGAGTAAGCAGTTCATAGGTTTTTCTTACAATTTTTGTAGCATACTCTTAAGTGCCAGCACAAGTGACCCTAAAACCTTGTTAGCATTTTTTTATACGATCTATAAAGTTAACTTAAAACGAAAACATATATACAAAAAGATATATTTTTTGTTTTGTTTCATTACTAATAATTAATTCAAATATTTTCTTATGTTCCAGAAACTTTTTGGCTTAATTTTACTGAGTATTACGATCCATCGGAAGTTGAAGTCTTGCCTGCTTGGTGGGAGAGCTATGCCCAGTGCCCTTTGATGAATCTGGAATCCGATTTGGCTAAGCTTCGTATCATGGCAGAGCTATTAAACTTCGTTGGAGCTATACTATATCTTCTAGTAGCCTTGCGGGAGGCTCGTTTTCTGGGCCTCAAAATGTTTATTGAAAATTTGGTATGTTTTTTTTTCTATCTAAAGTTAAAAATTTTTTTTAATTATTTAAAAATATTACCCAAGATGACGGCTCCTTCACGGGTTATGTTTCTGTTTTCCTGTGCTTTGATGATGACCATTCCCTGGCTAAGGGTTTCCTGTCTCACCGAAATCGATGATCATGTCACCGTTGTCATAATGCTGACCACTGCTCCTTATTTTCTGTTCTTTTGTCGGTAGGTTAGATTTTAAGATTTAAATATGTTTCATTTTATACTAATATTGATTTTTCCAGTGGCTTTAAAACTGTTGGTCCCTTCGTAGTGATGATATACCGCATGGTCATGGGAGATCTGCTCCGTTTCGTCTCCATCTATCTGGTGTTCGTGATGGGTTTCTCCCAGGTATTGTTGCATCTTCAATCCTTTTATAGATTGGTTTATTATTCCCTTATCTATCCCTAGGCCTTCTATATAATTTTCCTAACCTTTGACAACCCATCGACCCCCGAAGATCAAGATGCAGAGTCCAATCCAATGCCTTCGCCCATGGAATCCATAGTGGCCATGTTCCTGATGTCTCTCACAAATTTCGGCGACTACTATGGAGCAATGGTGTCCACGCAGCACGAGTACGAGGCCAAGATACTGTTCTTCCTGTTCATGGTGATTGTGAGCGTATTGCTGGTGAACATGTTGATTGCCATGATGGGTAACACCTACCAGAAGATCGCTGAGATACGTAACGAATGGCAACGCCAGTGGGCCAGGATCGTCCTAGTGGTGGAGCGAAGTGTACCACCCGCCGAGCGGTTGAAGAACTTTATGCACTACAGTCAGTCGATGTCGGATGGCCGGAGGGCATTGGTCCTGCGTTTGAATATGACTGTGGGTTAAAAATATTTGATAAATCAAGAATTTGTATAAAAAGAAAATTTATTTTAGGAAGAGGAAAAGGAGGAAATGAAGGAGGTCCAGGAGATGAAACGCATCCATCAGCGTTTCTCCAAGAAGCGGCAAATGGAGCGAGAAGCTCGTGCCCTTCGACGTCAGCAGGAGTATGAGAAGTTCTTCGGCACCGCCCCCAAATCGGAAAGTTCCGAAAACAACAACTTTTGAAAACCATTTGGACAAAACCAGAGTCACTTAAATTAGTTCAAGTTTTATTGAGCCTTGTTAAAATGTGTTCGTTTTGAGCAATAAATTTTAGTTTACATTGCAAGTCACAGGTCAAAAAGATAAGGTTTTGTAGTTTTAAGGGAAAGTGCTGTTTAAGCGAAGGGGATATCAACTTTCTTTACTTCTAAATATTTTCTTAAATTTAACTTACTTTTTTAAAGTAAATTCAAAACTGCCACCCTCTTGAAAAGTTCCTTTAACACCATTTTAGCTAAAGCCATTGGCACATAATCGATGACTTATTTAAGGGAGCGTTAGAAAAATGTGTGGCAGAAGTGTCGTTGCATGCAAATGACAGGTGGCAGCCCAAACAAACAAATATCAAAATCAAATTCACTCAAAATAACATTTAATAAAATCAATGTGCTTATAAAGTTAACCCTCCAAAAAAAAGAGAGTGAAAAATGTTCAACAATCGCCCATTTCCCGATGGGGTCCTAGGTAAATTTGCATTTTCATGTGGGGCGGAATGGTGGCATAACTCAACGAGCGGCAGCTCTCATGTACGTTGACAGTTTTAAATCAAAGAGCAAAGCTCAAATGCAAACAGAGTTAACAAAGGTCAAACCCTTAACCCTTGACAATCCTCAACCCTCACACTCATATCCCTTCCCCAAAATAAATTGCAAACTTTCAATTCTTTTGCACTTTGATTTGCATAAATAATTTACTTTAAACAAATTCTTGAGTATCGGCAAAAGAAAGTAAAGAAGAAATTTTCAGGCAAAGAAAAAGGCAGTCAAAAGAAAAAAGCAAAGGAAAACCGAATTTCCTTTTGAGTTCTAGTGGCAGTTCACCTGGGAATGGTCCATAATTCTTATTTGAATGCTTGTTTAACCATTTTTTTTCCCCCTCTCTTAGCAAAAGCCAAATCCCTAAAGGATTCAACCTGAGTTGGGTATAATATTTGGTTTTCTTTTTTTTTATTTTTTCGAAAAGAAAAATTGTTTGTAAATGAAAAAAACCTGGCCAGGGAAACAATTACGATAGTTAGGACCAAATCACAGACGGCATTTAAAAGTCATTTGGCAAACGCCCCTCACCGAAATTGCGCTATAAACGATATTGCTTAAGGATCATAAACAAGGCTTGAATTTTCCAGGAACACCAAGAAGGTGAAAACTGTTCGTTCGCATTACCATTTCGTGCATTTCCCTTGGCCCATTATTGTTATTGTTTTACAATGTTTTGGGTGTAAGGGTGTGTGTGTGTGTGTATCGAGGGGCGTAAGTAAACAGCTTTCTCAGCCTTTTTTATGACTGGAAATTTCACAAGTCGAGAGGGCCAACGAGATCTATATCTTGGCTTGGCTGTGTTAAACTCATTTATTGCCTTCTTTTTCTGTCTTTAAATAAGTTAAGAATCTACTTAAGAGTTGTTTTAAGTAATTTGTGGTGAATTTTATTTAATTTACTTTTGGGTTTTAATACAGTTTATGTGCTAATCAGATTTAGTTAGTATTAAAGTTAAATCGTCTTAATAAATCAGGCAAAAAGGCAGTTTTATGATTGATAAAAAAGAGAAAAACTAAGTTCTTCATCCTAAAAATATTTTTAAAAATCTAAAAACTTAACTTTAAATTCATTACAAAACTAAAACACTTTTTTAATTTCTATTCCAGCTAAAAAAATAATTTCAATTCCCAACACAGAAGGTGGTGCAAAAATATTTACATTCAGCAATTAGGGGAAGTGGGCGTTCGCTAGAGCTCCGGTGGGCGTGCCAGCACCATTCACAGCTGCCAGAGTTGATGAAGCCAAAACATATGATTACGCAACGAACTCGACACCTAAAACTCCGAGCCAGAGAGCTGCGATTGAATGCGATGTGTAATTACATGGCCAAAGGACACAATGGCGAAGCCAATCGCTGAAAGCTGGGAACATACTTTCTGGCCACACTGTGACATATTCAAATGGTAATTGTTCACCCAAAACTAGTGTTGACTGTGGGGGACGGGGGGGAAAAACCCTTTTGTTGTGACCATCAGGGGTTAGACACCATATCATTAACGCCACACCAACACAGAAAAAGAAAAAAAAGGGAAAACAATTTTTCCAGTCTGAGAAACTTTTTGCCAAGATCGTATTGGATTGGTTATGAAACGACGATCGCAGCGGGAATTAAATTGCTCTATTCAAACTCAATTAAAGTCAAGCTGCGGCTCCGAAAGAGAGTGATCCCTGCTCTTTAACACTTTCCAGCTTGAACGTGATCCCCGATGCTTCTTTGTGTTCGCTGCGATCTCGAACAAAGACGTTTCGCTAAACGCTTCCGGTGCTGGGAAATTATAAAAAAAAAATATATATATAAGGGGTTCCGAAAAGGATCTGAGCTGATACGATCCCTGAAAACGAAACGATCCCACGCAACGCTCCCATTGATGTCAATCTCTGATATACCTCTCCACTGGGACAACAATGCAAGGTGTCATGGCTTTGTATCTCCGTATCCCCGTATCTGTATCTTTTCTTTTCAGTCTTCAACCTTCAACCTTCCATCGGTTCTCTTTGTGTTTTGTTGTGTTCTTGCTACAATTGCAATTACGTAATCGTTATCATGATTTGCAAATCGATAAACGGAAATCTTTTTCTTTCCCTTTCCCTTTCCCTCTTTGACAAATCTTCCTCCCCCAATTTGGTCTCCATCTTTATTGGCCCCAGACAAGAACCATAAAACTCGTTGGCTTAATTCAAATGGCCGCCACTTGCCACGAATCTTTTCTGTTTGTCAGCTCATAAAGCTGAAGTTTTATGGTCTCAAATAGATAGATAGAAAGGGGGTGGTTGGGATGTACTTAGATGGTGTCTTTTAGGGTCATAAAGTAGTGGTAAACAGAATTGGTAAAGGGAGAAGGAGAAGAAGGTTATTGGTTAGTTAAGAAGGTTAAAAAGACTTCTAATCTAACTTGAAAAACCTACAAAAAAAATATACTAGTAAAAAGCAAATTTAGTTAAAAAATTCATTTTTGATTTGATTTTTGTTATATTTTTCTAACCCAAACACATTTCTAATGCAAATGAACAAAATCTCCCGAACTCACCTTCAATTTATTGATCGCCCACCCCTCACATACCCCCCATCGTTTCAATAATACGCCTCGATTTGATTGAAAACCACTTGAAAAACCCGAAGGGAAGCGAAAAAAAAAAACAAATTCTAACAACAAGAGTGGAGGATAAAAAAAAACCGCAAAGTTTTAATTGAATTTCCTGAACAAAATAATGTTTTGCCACTTGAGTCTCGCGGGAGGACGCTAAGCAAACAATCAACACAACAACAACGACAACGGCGACGCCGCCAAGTCTGAATGACTGACTGACTGATTGACGTGGAGATTGAATGGTCTATGGTTGGGGATCTGCCTTGGTCTAGATATGCATACACACACTTCCAGAGCGAGAGCGAGAGAGAGCAAAAATTCAATTCGCCAAATCAAATCACTTGAGTGAAAATGTTGCCTTCAGCCAAAGGAAAATAAATAGGAAAACACATACAAATAAACAAGTAAAGAAAAAGAGGGGGAAAGTAAAAGAGGCGGTGTCAAAAGGTGTCTTTGAATTGCTTAAAGACTCGCTTTGATCTTCGACAGCATTAAACGCGCTCAATCAAACCCTTTGACTTGGGCCAAAACCATTTGCCAAATGACTGAAATTAATTAAGCGAAGAAGCCACAGGAAAATAAATCAAAGAAAAGCCCAAACGAAGGCCAAAGGATAAATGAAATGGAACCTTAAAAAAGCCAATGTTTTGTACTTTGAAAATGAAAACTGGATGAAAATATTTATAATAATAATTTGTAGTAATAACAAACTAAGTTTGAAAGTCATGGGTTTATCTTAGCTTAAGATTAAGTTTTGATTTGGTTTTGCTTATGATTTACCCTTAAACCTATAACTTTTTATAACCTACCATGGTTAAGCTACATATTTATACATTTTTTTAACCCAAAACCATCTCTGTTTATATTTTTAATCTTAAAATATTATTGTAACATTCAAACCATTCAAATTGCGTCTCAAATTAAGTCACGAATTCGAATCTAAAACCGAGAAGGCGTTTAACAGAAGATTGCAGGCTGTCAAAACGATTCGAGTTTCCATTGCCTGAGGGGTTGGAAAACTCCTGCTCCTGACAGCCGCCCATCAGGTGGAGTGGACCTCATTTGGCAGCGGTTTTCCCAGGGCAACGCCCATCCGCCCATTTAAACCATTGGTGTGTTTGGCCCTCGGGCTATGGAAAACCGCACAAAATTTTGGACACCAAAATTTCATGTTTTTCGGCAGCTAATCGTTGGTAGGCGGCTGTACTGAAGGCTAGAATCTAAGGAATCTGTTCCAACTGTGCTTGTTGGTCGTAAACACACACCGTGGGATTCGGCACGTCGGTCAGGAAGGAAACTCACCTCTTCTCTGGTCTCTAACAGAATCCCTCTGTACTCCACTCTGGCCGCCTGTTCTGAATCTCGGAAACCCACTTCAAACGAAAGTCGCATCGAGTGGGCACTTTGACGGCGACGATTTGCCCGGAGAGGAGCGAAAACAAAAATTAGGCTCACACTGAGAGAAATTGGTTGTAAGAAATATGATAGAGAGAAAGTAGTTCTCAGTGAATTGGTAAAAATGTAGAAGAACTAGTTGGTCCGATGATCGATCTAACTTTTTACCAGACATTTCTTAGTTTTAGAGATATTTCGTTGCCTTAAACTATCTTACCCTAAAATCTACTTCAAAGTTTTCCCTGCAGTGTTTCTCAAAGCACTTCAAATACAATCCCCTCACCCCTCCTGGCGACAACCCCTAAATTCGCAAGGAGAGAAATATGCAAAAAAGAATAGAAAATGAAATGAAATATGAAAACGAGGCATAAAGAAATTTGACTCAAGGATCGCGGCGGTTCCTTAAGTGGCTCGTTTCGATTACAAACGAGTGGAAAAAAAGGCCTCAAGACAGAGAGATCCCAGGCCCAAGTCGTTAAGTTAACCCCACCACCACCACCGTGGACCATGGCACTCGAACTTCGTTTAAGAAATTAACATCGTTTAGTCCAAGTGGCTGTGATGATGGAATTGGCATGGAAGGGTTAAGAACAATTAGGGGCAAGAAGGTGGTGGGGTATGTGGTATGAAGGTTCTGCTGTTAATCTGTTATGACATCTAGGACCTGGCAAATGTAATGAACTCTAATCGACCAAGGATTATGAGTGGCCATCGAAGACCTACGCTCTGACAGCTCCGACAATTGGATTTGCATTCAAATTTTCCCACATTCATCTAACAGGCTCCTAGAATACAAAAGCGAAATGCGGGGCTTACACATGTTTTCCACAGCAATTATCCTTTTTAGAAAAAAAGAAGACAAACAACAAAAAAAAACACCGCAAAGGTGATTGTTTTTTCCTGGGATGATATTGCGAAATATTATCACAGATTTGTAACAATGCAAATGACAATAACTGACCCCGGAAGTAGTTTTCTATTGAAAATAATAAACAACGCGAGTTCCCTTGAAACGTTGCTGGAACAATGGATGCACCAGAACGGATACAAAAGTTGTTGCAATTGTGCAACATTCATGTCAGGGCAAGAACCGGTTTTGCATCAGGTGAAGCCGAAACGGAAGTCCTCGGTGCATGTGGCATGGCATCCTTCTATAGGAGTTTTCCCTTTAAACTATCTTTGGAAGTATTTTACGTTTTGTTTTCCTAATGGTCTGAGCTTGGGATGAGCCGAGTGGCGAAATTTCGGAGACAATTTGGCCATTTCTGGTCGCATAATCACGCCCGGAACATGGAATTCCTTCCCGGATATAATGGGAAATACAAAATTATAATACAATTTGAAATCTTTGTTAAAATTTCTTTCTAAGGGTTTCTAGAAAAATTGGGTTTTTAAGATCATTTTTGAGCTCAGTTTCTAAGTTTTTTGAGAACCTAAAATGTGTTTTCTTCGTAAAATTGACGTAAAAAAGGTCAGCACTTTGATATATTAATTCAAAATGATAATTCATAAACTAATTCTTTCATAAATTAGACTACCAAAAACTCTTCATTTGAATATGCTTGTCCATCATGCTAGAACATTTCCATTAACTACACCAACTTTTACCACCAAAACGTTTTCATTATCCCTAGCAGGTCCTGTCCATCCCCCAAAAATAAACCCCCAACCCTCTAAATGAAACGATAAATGCGCTATAATTTTTCATTTTTCCCAACCAAATTGAAACGAAGAAGAGCGGCAAAGAAATTCAAAGGAAAAGATGGAAAATTCGTGAGCATGCCAAAAAAGGCTCTTAACTGGAATGACATGTGAAAAGCGCCAAAATCTGTGAGGCAATCAAATGGACACGTACGGAAAAAGGAAAGGAAATCTAGTGGGTGGAAAATGGAAATGCAAAATGAACAAAAGTCGAACTAAAAACGTGAGAAAATCCAGCCGAAAATGTTACTTTTACCATATGCCGACGCCAGGTGCGAGGCGAACTGAATTAAACAACCTTAAATAAGGGGAAAAAAAGCATATAAAACTTGCAAAAATGATACAGTCAGATATATATTTATATATATATATATATATATATATATATATATATATAGGCCGTATAAATAAATAATTGAACAATTCAATCAACTGAACAATGCTGGGAATGTAACCTCATTTGGCTTTTATGTTCGTTTCATTTTTGTCATTATCATTGAATCCATTCTGGACATTGTTATATCTCACATTTGCCCGATTGTTCCTGAATTTAATTAAAAAAAAGAATGAATGAAAAAAAAAATTATATTTGCGGAATACAAAAAAAAAACAGCTTCCCAAATGACAATTGAATGAAAATAACAACAATCAACAATCGAAAACAACAACAATGAAAGGGAACAAACAATAAAACGCGAGTCTTTCTCTTTCTCTTTCCCTTTCTCTACAGAGAATCAGAATCGAGAATGGGTTAAGCGGTGAGGGTGATTTCTGGCAACAGGATAATGGTTAATATTGTATTCGAATAATAGTAATCACGACAGAACTTGACTCATCTCTCACCTGTCACTAGGAGATCAAATTAAAATTACATTCATCAATTCTTGAAGTGAAAAGTAATTTATTTATTCTGATAAGTTATCTAGCAGCTGTCGTTGGGTAAATACGATTTTTATAAGATTTTTTGGTTAAAAATTAAGAACAATTTTGGTAGAGAGAAAAATATTTAATTTTTGATTTGAAATAAGTTATTAGTAAGTAGTGAGAAGTGAGTAAGTTGGAATAAATATAGTTAAATGTCTACTTAAGGGAGTAGTTTAAATGCCATTTTGTTGATCAAATATACTAGAAAGTCGTATTAAATTGAAAATTAATATAAAAATTACTTTGATGTAGTTGGAAAATCTTAAGAGAATTGAAAATACATTTAAAATTTTTGTTTTGTCTTTTATTATAAATAAATTTAAACTTAAAAACTACCAAAAACATTAACTTTTGCATGCCAATACCTTTTTTTTAATATTATAAATCCCATTTAACAGTTTTTAATTGATTTGTATTAAGAAAAGCTAGCTTATATGGTTATATAATAACGTTATCAACATAAATAATATCATAAATTTAGCCCACACGCGTGGGGCTTATGTTAAAAGCCCAGATCCTGTATATTTTCCTGTATTTATCTCACTCTCTGTACCATTATCACTCACTTAGTGTCCTCGTCTGCTAAGTGAAATGCTGAATACTTAGAAAGAAAAATGTGGCCCGGACAAAACTTTTTCCATTACACAACGCACAACAGTTTTTTCCTTTCATTATTATTTGAGTTTCGTTGTTGTTGCTGTTGCCGTTGTCCTTTCTTTACATTTTTCCTTCTTTTTTTTTTTTTTTGGGGGAAAAAGCAGACACAAAGGATACGTTGAGAACGTTGAAAGCTTTTTATGCTCTTACGCTATGGCCCAGGTATAAGAGCTTTGTAAATGCAATTGGAAATTGCACTAAGCTTTGCTATGTCCGTGTGTGGGTGCGTTTATGCACATGGATGTGTGTGTGTGTGTAAAGGAGAAAGGAAAACAGAAAGAGAAAGGGAGGGCATTATACAGAGGCAAGGGGAACACAATGGCTAACTTTGGTTTTTGGGGCTTGGGAGTTTGGAAATTTTTCAGAGATTAAATTGAAAATCATATCAGCATCCTAGAAAGAAAAAAGTTCCAATTAATTTGGTGCCAGAGTTCATAGATTCAATACGGATATTAAATATGAAAAAAGTGCCTTCAAAGGAGTAACAAAATGTACCCAACAACCTTTCCCCCTACCAATCAATATAAAAGGCTTCTTTACTGCAGTAAAAACTTTTCATGTTGCTTATTTAGAAAACAAAAAATAAAAGCTGGTTAAATCATCTTTATAATCATGCACATAGGACCATTTCTACATGCAACTGGGTGAAGATTTGCCTCACTTCCATTCGCTCCTTTGTGGGCTTCTTTATTCTGGCTCACTTTTCTATGGCCAAATAAGTAAATAATTGCAGTAATATCCTTTCTGGAGCGGCCAGGAAGAAGTGGTAAAAAGGGAACGGAAAAGAATGGAGAAGAATGGCGAGCGAAATGAAAGAATGCGAGAACGGAGAATGGAGAACGGGGCGAGAGAATGGAAAGCGTGTTTCCATGTCCTTTTCACAAACTAAAAAGTCCTTTCACACACACACACACATAGAGTACACAGAGTACACATAGTGAACGGTATATAGCTGAACACAGACACCCACAATGGACAAAAATTCACACCAAAGACCCATTGTGATTGGCCCAACAAACACACACATGCATATGAAGAGAGAGGGTTTTGTACTCTCTCCCTCGCTGGCTAGCTCAGTCTCCCTCTCTCGTTCTAACTGCATAAGAGATGCGGAAGTGCAACGTCGACGTGCAAAACAATAACGGAAATTGTGTGCCCACTGTGCGAAAATCAATGTACCGGAGCTCTCTCTCCCTCTATCTTTCTCTCTGTGGATCCCCTAACCCCCCCGTGAAATGGGGTCGCTAAATCGAATAACACGAAGCATAGCCGAACGAGAGCTGCCTGGCTTTTGGCTCTATTGAGCTCCTTCTATTGAACACACCCCTCAATGGGCGAACAACTATAACCGATATAAAGGAGCCAATGGAACAAAGCCAAATGGAACAATGGTCCACAAAACGAAAGAGAGAATGCGCTATATGTGAGTGTGAGACAGAGTGAGAGAGCGCGCACAACGACGGTAGCGCAACACTCTCTCTCAGGTAGGAAACACAAACGTCTGTCCTGCTCGCACTCATAGAGGCTTACGTGGCTACGAAGTACGAGGGTTGCTCATAACTTCGTACTCTCTACTCTCTTACGAAGAGAAACGGGATTTGGCTGCAGTCGTGTCGGCCTCACTGTAGCACTACACAAATCAGTCACAAAAAAGCAGTCGAGCCGAGCAGAAGCAAAGCAGCAAAGCATAAGCAAGCAAAAGCAAGACAGTCATTGACATAAAGACAAAACCAAAAAGAACAAGAACAAAAATCACAGACATTGTGTTCTAGAAAGTGAAGTGTTAAGATCTTAAAAGAACCACAAATTTACATAAAACAAAAAAAAACAGTGAATCAAATAGCTGGAATGGCCACCTTATCGACACACCCCAATTACGGTTTCCATTTGGGTCAGGCCCAGGGATTGGAGGACTACGCCCCACAGGGTCAGCTTCAGCTGAGTCCCGGCATGGACATGGATATCAAAAGAGTGCTACATTACTCCCAGAGTCTGGCGGCCATGGGTGGTTCACCCAATGGACCCGCCGGCCAGGGAGTGAATGGATCTTCGGGCATGGGTCACCACATGTCCAGTCACATGACCCCACATCACATGCATCAGGCGGTCTCCGCTCAACAGACCTTGTCCCCGAACAGTTCCATTGGATCCGCTGGCAGTTTGGGCAGTCAAAGTAGCCTGGGCAGCAATGGCAGTGGCTTGAACTCCGGTTCGGCTCACCAATCCGCTGGAATGCACAGCTTGGCCACATCACCTGGTCAGGAGGGTCACATCAAGCGACCAATGAATGCTTTCATGGTCTGGTCCCGTCTGCAGCGTCGTCAGATCGCCAAGGATAACCCAAAGATGCACAATTCTGAGATCTCTAAGCGTCTGGGTGCCGAATGGAAATTGCTGGCAGAGTCAGAGAAAAGGCCATTCATCGATGAGGCCAAGCGTCTGAGGGCCCTGCACATGAAGGAGCACCCAGACTACAAGTACCGCCCACGCCGCAAGCCCAAGAACCCACTGACCGCTGGACCCCAGGGTGGCTTACAGATGCAGGCCGGCGGCATGGGTCAACAGAAGTTGGGAGGTGGACCGGGTGCCGGAGCTGGAGGCTATAATCCATTCCATCAACTGCCACCATACTTTGCCCCGTCACATCATCTGGATCAGGGCTATCCGGTGCCCTACTTTGGAGGATTTGATCCGTTGGCTCTGTCGAAACTTCATCAATCTCAGGCAGCGGCGGCGGCGGCGGTTAATAACCAAGGTCAGCAGCAAGGACAAGCCCCACCTCAGTTGCCACCCTCCTCCCTGAGCAGCTTCTATTCGGGCATATACTCCGGCATCTCGGCACCATCTTTATATGCCGCCCACTCAGCCAATGCCGCCGGACTCTACACATCCTCGTCAACCTCCTCGCCAGGATCCTCGCCCGGTACCATCACACCCAATGGCATGGATGGCTCCATGGACAGTGCATTGAGGCGACCGGTACCGGTGCTCTATTAGAGCCGCGATTTAGGTTAGAGTACAGAGTAGAGTACAATTGTTGAAGCATTCCCAAAGTGATCCACTGGTTTTAAATCTTCAAAAGCTCTAAGTAAGCCAATCCTCCAAACCACTCCGCTTAATTCTAGTACAATCTTTGCGCACTTCAGATCTAAGAACTAAGTAAAAAAAAGAAAAAACAAAAACAAAAACAAAAAACACATTCCTAGCCAATACACACAACCACAAACTATAAACTATAATTTATTTAGCGCACGAGAAACAAGTAAGAAAACGTGAAAAACAAGAAAAACAAAAACCTAATTGTAAATTAATTTTATTTAGTTTTAAGCATTGAGAGAGCGTTTCCTTCTTGTTGTTTTCTTTCCTCATCAGCACTAACTTTAAACGTAGCTACTAGTTTTTAATGTCTCAACCCTCTCAAATTGTAAATATCCCAGCCAATTTCGTTATAGTGTCCAGTGTAGAGCCCAGGTAAATGCGAGGAATTAAGAACGTACATCAATGTATTATTGTATTATTAATTGTATTAAAAACTAAACGTTATTATCTAAGCAACAAAAATGGTTCATCAGAGAGCCAGACACACACAAAAACAAAGACATTTAAAAATGAATAAAAAACAAAATAATTTGAGAAAACTAAATTTGAAAAATTTTTTATTTATTTTGGGATTATTTTACAGATTCAAAATGGGAAGTTAAGTGGGAAGTTTATTAGAAAAAATGTTTGTTTATTTGGAAATATTTTATAGCTTAAAGAAATGGTTAATTAATTGGGAATTAAATTTGTAAAATTGTTTATTTAAGTGAAAATATTTTACAGCTTAAAGTAAAGCTAAGCAGTATTCGATCTTAAATTGCTGTCCTCAGCTGTTGGTCTAGGGAAATGATTTTATTTCTGTCAAAATATGATTTTATTTTAAGTCTTAAGTCTAGTTGGGTTCTTAATTTATATGAAATTTTTCTAAATATCTAATTTGCCTAAAAAATATACAAGTTTTTGGTTATATCTTAAGAAACCTTTGAAAATAAGAAAGGAAAATTGAACACCCAAGTTATTGCCACAAAACATGAACAATTTTTGAACATTTAACAACTCAAAGTTGCCATTTTCCCAAAGTATTTTTACTACGTTTTACTTTTAACTTATTAATTTCCATCAAATATAGATATTTCCAGTCTTGTGACTTTAATATTTTCAGCTACCTAATCCCAATGATTTTATTCTCTTGTCATAGCTATCTTATCATAATTTAATTTCCAACATTTTTGATGTTGTTCCATAAAGTTTGAGTTTAAACAAGTCTATATCAGCTTAGATCAATGTTATTAACAAAATTCATTACCCAATTGAATATTCATAAGACAGAGATGCTAACAGTTATTAACATATTATGCCCAAATCCATAGATATAAGATATAAGATATAGTTCTAAAACGCTCATTTTATCATCACTCAATAAGGCAGATGAAGTTTTCAAATATTTCCCCCAAAAATTCCTCTCCCTTTACTAATCAAATTAACCTTGTCTCTGGCTGTCTTAACCATTATTTTGCTCATTTTTATTTTCATTTTTGTATAAGTTTATCTTTTTTGTTGGTTAGTTTACACCCGCTGCGTGGAGATGAAAAAACTAAAATTTGATTTGCCATTATACAACTATTTGCCGTTGTGTATTAATTTCTATTGATTAATGCGCTGTTTATTTTGCGCCTCCAACGGACAGAATTCGATAGTTGATGAACAAAAGGTAGTCTCAGCGATATTTTCGATGGGGGTCAACATTGTGTTTTGTTTTTCTTGTTGCTCTTTTCGGGATCAACGGGGGGGCCTAAGACCTAACTATTCGGAGTGGTAACAGAATACCCTGGCGAAAGAAATCAACGCGTGTTTCTTGGCCTTTTCTGAGTTGGCTGCTTCTTTTTTTTTCGTAATAATAATAAGAATAATTGCGGTCATTAATAAATCCACTTGCATTGTCTTGTCCCTTGAAGTTTAGCTTTTCGATTGCTGTTTGAGAATCTATTCATCTTTTCCCTTTTCCTATCTCTCTCTATCTCTCTCTCTCTCTCTCTCTCTCTCTCTATGTCAAATGTGTTAAAATATCAAATATTGATTATTGTTGTTATTATGCTTATTGTTGATATTGGCCTTTTTGTTGTTGCTGTTCTTTGGCTGGTTTCTTTATTCTCAACATTTGATCTGCCTTCTTTATTCGATAGCTACATTTCACAAATATTTACCCAGCATTGACGTGATATTGAATAATTATATAAAGATTGGATTCTTTTGGCTTAACCCTTGGGTTATATTATTTGGTTATGATGGGTATAAAGCGGTTAAGTCAATAGAGAGGTGTAACATGTGTTTTAAATTGGTTTGGATTTTGAATTTCTGTTTTGTTAAATGCCTTTTTGAATGTTTTTATTAGCTTTTAGAAGTCTGTAAAATTGCGTATTTTGAAAGACATTCAATATGCAATTGGTAAGATAAATATCAGAAAAATATATAGTAACTGATATAGTTTTTGATTGTCTTTTTAATATACAAAATATTTATGTGCCTAAAAACTTTGAAAGTTACGTGATTTCAGGTTAGAGTTTTCCTTCTTTTAGGCAGTGACCACTAAACTGTTGAAGAATTTTCTATTAAGGAAGCAATAAACAATATGCCAAATTTAATATTCTTATATTTATCCCTAAAACAACCTTTATCTGCATAAAATGTTGTTCTTTTTCCTATAAAAAGATTCTACTTTATATCTCAATTCAGGTCATAAAACCTATTTACAACCATAAACAAACATAAAAACCTTTCAGGTTTAAATATCACATCTTACCCTTTTGCCAAAACCCAATCGGAAGTGATTAACTTTAAAGACCTAATCCTAGCCACCATTTAAGCCAAGCTTAAAACAAAACATGCCCTCCTAATCCCTAGTTCCCCCTCCCCATCAAATTCCATCGCGAAAATAATCGAATAATTGAAATTCCAAATTCAACTCGTTCGGTTTTTAAGGATTTGGTGAAAACGTTTTATGACCCTAAGACTCGCCTACGCCAAGTTACTACCATTATGCCACGCCTTTCTGGCCCATTTGGTACGCGTCTGTGTATACAAATATAATTTGCAGGCTTCTTGAGGAGGTATTTCGATTTTTTTGTTTTTACGACTTTTTATGACCAGGGGGATTAGCGTCGGGTCCGTCAGAAAGGAGTGTGCAAAATGTCGCGAGATTTTTATGCATTTATATCTAACGTTGTCTTTGGTTTTCAGCTACCTGCGGTAACTTTTAGACCCGGATTAGGCCATCAACTTTTCCCAAAAATCTGTTTTTGCTTTTGTGTAGTTTTTTACGCGAAAAGATGCAGTCGCTAATCCGGCGGATTAGTGACAAAGGACCAGACGGATTAGCTAATAACGGTGATACAATTTGTCCAGCCAAATTATTGCAACGACCTCGTCGCCTGTTACCGTTTTCTAGGATTTCCATAACATTTTCCAAATGCCTTTTTCTTACGCGGAAGGTTGAGTGTTATAATTTGTAGTCTCATAAAATATTAACTGGCCTGCAAAGGGGTCAAGCTGTTGTCTGTTTGGTAACTCTCTTAGTAAGTTTTTCGCCCCTAACTATATAGTATATATATATATATATATTCTAAACATGGCGGCCATGTCTGTAGTCTGTCAAATCATCCCACTTTACCCCATTCCCCATTTTGTGTCACTGGCTATGCAGCCTAATTTGTGGGTGGTGGCTTTTTGTCAAACTGTTTCATATTTGCAATTGCTTAACAGGGTGGCTTAGCCAGGCTACACTGGGCTACAAAAGTGAGGGTTAGTGTGACATCAAATTAGGGAGGTATTTATTTAAGATTTCCTAGTTAAAGCCGCTTAAAAAGGTTAACCAAGAATAGCAGTTTTAACCTTTTTTATAGCTCGTCTTAACTTTAATTTTGTTTATTAAATAAGCAGAAGATTAAGAGTTGGTTAGTAGACTCATTTTTTCAGATACTTTTCGGAATACAAAAATATTGATTCCATAGTTAGTTACCTAACCAAGTTACGAAACAAAACTTTAACTTATACCTTTCTTATTACCCAATTTGGTAGCTTAGTGTAGTGTCTCATATTTCATTCAAAATCGACAACCGCTCCCCAGTCCCCTGAGCAGCTACCCCAAACCCAACACAGCCAAGCCGTCTGGACGTGAAGCATATTGTCGAGGGTGGCTATAGACGAGCGCGGAGGATATAACCGACTCGGCAATGCGACTGTGGCGCGTGGTTGACAAGTAGCAAAGCGTGGCGGCTTTTTAAGTGCTAGTTTGACATTTTTTTTTTGTGTATTTTTTTCCTTCTTGGCTTGCTTTCACTGCAGTGGTGCTGCGCCATGCTAACCAACCAACCAACCAACCAGACCGTCAATAAGTCGCAGGCTAACAATTAATTAAAAGCCTCCACCGCACAAAAAGCACGGCGCACTTAGGCAAATGAGCAGCTACGATGGCCCATGGGGCGAATGCGCGATGTCGACTGGGAAATAATTTGTCAGCCAGCAGAACGCAGGGCGTCAAAGCAGCAGCAGCAGCAGCAGTAGCAAGGAAATTTTGCAGACGTAAGTGCAAGGATAACGATGATGATTTGCCACTGCAAACGAGTCGACTTGAGTTGTTGTTGTCAACTCAACAGCGTCATTAACATTCGGCACGAACGCCAAATGGAAATTAAATGATGATAAATTTGCAACCAGCCGCAACTTGACAACTGATTGCCAGAGAACAGGAGTGCCAACACAAAAACAGGACCTATTTGCATACATACAAAGTTCGAGGCTCATTCAGTTGTATCAAATTTGATTAGGTGCGAGGCATTTGTCAAAGCAATATATGTATATAGATATATAGAAAGAGAAAGAGAGACAGGGAATAGTGCGCCCCGAGCTGGGCGACAAATTTGTGGTTTGCCTCGCTTTTTCATATCCAACCCTCCCAAAGCGACAGCGATTGATGAGATGAGCGCGCTCTTAGTTTGTTTTGTTCAGTATTTTATATAGGAGTATATATATTCAGATTTCTGAGCTGGACGTCGAGTGCCAAAACACTTACGCCCAAACTATGAGGTTGATGATGTGTTGATGATTGCCGTCTGGGTTTTGAAAAATCACACAAATTTTTAATCACACAAAAAGGGTGAAATGCTAACAAAGGATCAGCATCATTAGTAGGGAAATAAGCTGGGAAAGCATATAAATTAGGAAACAATCTAGGTTAGGTGAATGAACTGATTAAGACTGGAGTTTAGGGTAATAGCAAACCATCTAAAACCCTTTTTAAGTTGGTAAAAAGTTAAGAAAATTTTAGATAATTGGCTAATTTATGGAGATTTATCGAAAGAATCTTTAGGAAAAACCAATAAATATTTTTTTTTCCCTTAATAATGTTCTATTAACCATTTATGTTTACATTTTAAGAGGCTTAAGCCAATCTAATCACCAATTAGTTTCTAATTCCCATTGCTAAAAAACCCCAATTTTCTCCTTGAAAAGTTTGTGGCATCAGCATCAGTTGCCCATAGAGCTTACTTATTATAATTTTTTTGCCATAAATTAAGGGTATACATTTTTACTTTTTATAAATATTTC